AGACTTTCCGACAGTCGACTCTGCTCCTTCCGTCCCGTACCAGCTCGATGGCCAAGCTTCATGATCTCTGGTTGGTCTGTCCGACTCTGTACAGAGTACAGTCGGCGAAGCACGGTACTCCTTCTGGATGACGGCTAGAAAGGGAAGGGGGGGCCCAAAGCAAAGGCGCGAGAGTTTTCTTCCGGACTATCTGTACATCAAGGAAGCGGGACGTAGGAGTACCGGTAGTAGTAGTTAGTACAGTTGACTTGTGCCCCGTGAAGAGTCGCTTGCTGTTGATGGCAAAGCAAAAGTCGCCCCCGTCCCGAACCTCGCTTCGCCAGCCCGAATCCAGATCCAGAGGTACGGTATCAACGAGGTCCCGAGTCCAACGCGCGACCTCGTTTGGGGTGGTGGCAGACGAAATACGGAGAACTATTGTATTAGTTGTAGTACCTACTAGTCCTACTATTTCCCCGACGCCTGGCGCCCGGCGCCCGGCTTGAATTGATCGACTCGACTGTACGGACGAACGGGGCTACTAGTACTAGCCTGGTGGCCTTGTCCCTGTCCGGCATGGAGGACCCCTACGTGCCTGGTCCCGTCCCTTGTCCGTACCTGGTCCCGTGCCTGGTCCCGTGCCTGGTCCCGTACTGTACCTTGTACCTTGTCCAGTACGTACTGTATAGTACGTAGTAGGTACTGTACCAGCACCAGTACAGTACCAGCACCAGTACCAGCACCAGCACCCGCACCCAGTACCCAGTACCCAGTCCGTACTACGATGATTCTCATTATCCTTTTCCCAGTCTTGTCTCAAAAGTGACAAGTGCCAACCTTAAAAGCCTGCCGCTCGGATCTACCATTGACTTCCCCGCCGCCATTACTTACTGTTCTGCCCACCGACCACCGACCACCGACCACCGACCACCGACCACCGACCACCGCCCACCATCCCCCATCCCCCATCCCCCCATTCACGCCCTCTGCCGTCGACTCAACTCGCTCGTCTGATCCCCTCCCCTCCCCCTCCCCTCCCCTCCTCGACCTCGACCCCCTCTGGCCGGCAAGCGAGGAACAGGTGAAGAGAAGATGCGGCATCCTCGATTACGCACAGCAGCGCACCACTCCGCTCAGATACAGGAGATTCTGCTGACTCGCAGACTCGGCACTTCTTCTACTGCTGAACCAGAACCAGCGGTCCAAACGCAGCCCCCAGGCCGGCCCAGGTCCTCGTGCCTCCCAGCAGGAGCGAGTTGACAGTCGATTGCTCCTGTCCTGACTGTCTCGCCTCCATCTGCGAGCTCACCGCTCTGTACTCCCTACCTACTCGGGTTACCTACTCGGTATTGATGTACAGAGTAATGCAGGCAGATTCGAGATTCGGGAGACTCGCCCCGCCATGTCAAGAAGTAGGTACCGGGAGTAGAATCAGGACGTGCTACTTCGGACTAGAAACTGTCTATACCATCTGTTGCCCAGCAGACGCCTTCGCTTCTCCTCCGTATCTGCCTGCATCATCTCTGCAGAGCCGGCACGGCATGCATTGGCGCCGGGGAGCAGGCAGACCGGCAGACGGCAGACCGGCAGACCAAACAGCGGTAAGCCGAATTGCTGATGGGTCGTCCATACTGTAGTACAATGGTCGTAGTTGTCCTATACCAACACAACCCACGGCCAGTAATCACGTCCGATTATGATGATTATGATCAGCATGTGTAGACGGAGACGGAGACGGAGACGGAGACGGAGACGGTGACGGAGACGGTGACGGAGACGGTGACGGAGACGGTGACAGAGACGGTGACAGAGACAGAGACAGAGACAGAGACAGAGACAGAGACAGAGACAGAGTGCAGAGCTCCAAGAGGCAGCCGCGCCGGTAAATGACGACCCCAACTCAACGACACCGAAATTTTCTTTACGAGGTCCATTCCGCGCCATGCCGAACGCCGGATGCCCCAAATAGTAGTACTACTACGTTCTACGTAGTACTACTAGGTCCCAGGCGTAAGTACGTAGTACGTATTACCCCTCGAGAGTAGTAACCAGAGGGTTTGAAGTGGAAACTAAACTTTTGAGGCACCGTTGAAGGGTAATACTACTACTTAGGCCTGTACCGTAGTATATAAAGATACGTCACTTGAAGAATCGACTTGTCGATATCATGTTTTTATATCCCGGTATTGATAATCAAGTTCTTAATATTTAATAAAGAGAGACTGAGTTTTCATCTACTATCCTCTTTCCTTTCGAAATACATTGAGCTCAACTCTACCGTCGAAGAAGATAAAAGGAGCAGTTCAACTGCTTACTAGATCTCCACCCTAAAGTAGAATCTAATTCATAACTGATTTCGTCGCCCATTCCCCGCAGGAGGCAAAGCGACGTACTATACGTACGCACTACGTACGTAGTATTATAGCTAGTTCCAATCGCAAGGAACCTTCAGGACCATGCCCGGCTTGATGTCATAGTCCACAAAGTCGGTGTTCATGCGCGACAAGCGATCGGGCGTGGAGCAGAAGTCCGCCGCGATCAGCGTCAGGATCTCGCCGGCGACGACGGTGTAGTAGCCGAAGTCCGTGTCGGGGATGCGGGCGCAGTCGCGCTGCCGCGTCCGGCAGGGGACGCGGATGACGTTCTTCGTCGTGATGGGGGCGTCCGGGTTCATGGCCTGCAGCTCGGGCACGGTGGTGCAGAAGTCCGCCGCGACGTTGCTCCACGTGTCGCTGTTGGTCATGGTGTAGAAGCCGGTGCCGCCGAGGGCGCCCGCCGTGTCGGGCCGGCAGGTCCGGCGGAAGGCCAGGGCGACGCTGAGGAGCGAGGCGAGCAGGAGGAGGGGGGTGGTGGTGTGGAAAGGCATGATGGATGATGATGATGAGATGGGGTTGGGAGAGAAGAGTGGTCGTCTTGGGCGAATTGAGCTGGGAGGAAGAAAAAGATTTGCAGAACACGACCTATCGGTATGGTGATAGTGTGTGAGAGAGATTGATAGGATAGAGAGGAATTGCTTATCTTATATAGCTGTGACGGCGAAGGGGCTCGGCGATTTCGTATATATACTTTTTATCGCTGATGCTATACTCTCCCCCCCTATGAATGAATGTCGAAAGTATAAGTTCGCAAGGGATCTTACCAGGGCTTACACCAATCAACTGACTACTATAAGGATGCAGCCTGGAAAAGTACGTAGTATTTTTGAGCCAGTATTTAGTCTGTCTCTACGATGGAGTCGACAGAGCCCCCCCCCCCCCCATGAATAAATGTCGGACCCAGTTTCAGCCCATCAATCATAGAGCGGTGGTTTCTTCATACGGTAGCTCGAAGCCCTACCGACTCTATTCTACGTAGTATATAGACTAAATACTAGCTCAGAAATACTTTCCGAGGCTGGATCTTCATAAATTAATTGGTTCAAGCCTTGATAAGAACGCTTGCGAAATTTATACTTTCGGTATGTATTCACACTATACGTAGTAAGAAGGGGAATAATATAAATATAAATAAAAAAAAAAATTATATACGAGCAATACGTAATCTCGCCGGCTCGCTTAAGCACCGATAGGCCCCTTCTTAGGTACCTACTACTACTACGTAGTAGTACCTACCTACACATCCTCTCCGTTTTGAAAGATATAAATAGACCTTGAAACCCGTACAGGAGGGCGGCGTACGTAATATGTGCGTTTGTTTCAGCTGGCCCTCCTCCCGGCGAGAATCGGTTCTACTCATACCGACCGGTGCGTTCGTACGTACGTAGTAGTAGTACGTGGTAAAGAGGAAAGACCTGAGGAGATCCGTGGCCAGATTATACTTACCTTCGAGAAGGACTGGCTCAGTACTACGTACCGCGGGGCGAGCGACCGATCCGCCGGGCCGCGGACGGGTGCGGCCCGGGAGGGGAGGAAAATCCGGGCCCTTCTTCTCGTCTTCCGTACTGATGCCGCATGGCGGACCTTCCGTGACCGGCGCGCGAGGAGGCCCCGAGCTACTGTGGTAGTACGTCGTACGTCGTACGTCGTGCCTTGGCGATCAGATCTAACTAACCCCTTCCGTAGATCTTGAGCACCTGAGGGATGCTGAACCCAGATCCCAGAGAGCGGAGAGCAGTAAAGGTAGATTGTGTTGGTACTGTAGATTGTGTTGGTAGTTCGTGTTGGTAGTCGTTGTACAACTACAACTACGACGTACCGTACTACTACCGGTGCAACGGCGCAGTTGGTACCGGTCCGTAATTAGGAGTACGTAAAAGGGGTAAAAGCGAATACCTACTACTACTACTACTACTACTACTACTACTACCTATCTACCTACCTGAACCTACCTGAACCTATCAAGTACTACGTATCTACTCTAGTTCCCACTAGTGGTACTAGTACTACTATTTTACAGAGGTAGGTATACGAGCCGTGCATGATCATCAAGCAAGATGGCCACTCGCACGCGAACTCGAGATGAGGTACTACAGTCGTACCTTTATACCCAGTACAGGCAGGCAGGCAGGCAGGCAGGCAAGCCTCTGCACATCTGCACATCTGCACATACAACTGCGACCGGCTACCGTACTCTGCTACTTACCGGTATGCCTCCACCCGAACTCTGCCTCGAGCTTGTCCCAGCGACAACTACAACTACCTACTCCCGTCTGCTGCCAACAGCTGCTACATGGCATGGCACGGCATGGCAAACAGCATCTTGCATCTCTCGGGTCGTGTACAGGTCGTGTATACCGGTAGGTCGTCCTCCTCCTTGGCATCCCTACCGTGTGCTGGTTGGTACCGTACATGATCCTCTCCTCTCCTTTCCTTTCCTCTCCTCACCCGGCTATGAGTCACATCAGCTACCAACCCCACGCTCTGCCCACCGCTACCAACCAACCAACCAACCAACCAACCAACCAACCTCTTCGTTCGGAGATCAGTAAATCCCTCCCTCCTTCCTCACAGTATTTCAGTATTTCAGTATTTCAGTATTTCAGTATTTCAGTATTTCAGTATTTCAGTATTTCAGTATTTCAGTATTTCAGTATCTCATCATTTTCCTAACTTGCTAACTCGCTAACTCGCCGACTTGCCAAACGAACGAACGAATAAACAAACAAACGAGTAAATCAATTCCTAAATCCCCTCCACCTCTCAAGCCATCACACCCAACTCAATGCATTTCAATGCAATGCAATGCAATGCAACTCACACTCCTTCTCTCCGCCGTTACTCCTGTATAATCACTCTTCCTACCGTACCTACAACCTCACTAGCTAATTAACCACCTCACCACCTACCTCACCACCTATCTAACTAACCACCTCACTAACTAAGCTAAGCTAAGCCAAGCTCCAGAAAACCCCGAATCCCAGAGCCATTCTAAGTCTCCGCTTTGTATGCCGCAACTTTGCAAAGAAAGGTTTGGATGGTTGGTAGATAAGTTTTTAATTTTTTTTTTTTCTTGCGTTGGGTGTGTATATACATATATATATATATATATACGTACAAAGATCGTTGAAGTTGAAGTTGAAGTTGAAGTTGGCTTCGAGAGGGCTGTGATGTTTGGTTGGTCGGGTTGGTTGGGTAGGTACAGTAGGTGTGGGTAGGTGTGGGTAGGTGTAGGTAAGGTAGGTGGGAGGACGGGACGGGACGGGACGGTCGATGTCATTGTGAGTAGGGAGCCTTGCGATTGAGATTGAGATTGAGGGGGTGGGATTGATAAGAAATATATATATATATATATATATATACACAGGAAAGATGAAGTCAACTATGACATCAAAATCACAAAACCACTGGAGTATTGTAATAGCATTTTCATTGCAACCTGCCAACCTCTAATCTGAGCCCGAGAAGAATACAAAGCCCCGACCACTCCCATCTATACATCCATCCCTCTCCCGCAGGACCATCGTCTTCTAGTACCCCTTTTTCTTGTCAACCTCATTCAGCAACTTCTCGCCATTCTCAATCCTCGTCAGGTTCATCTCCAGAATCTCAAAACTCCGATCCAAGTACATCGTTCCCAACCCGGAGATATGTGGCGTGATCGCCACATTCTCCAAATCCCACAGCTCGCTATCCCTCGGCAAAGGCTCCGGATCCGTAACGTCCAGCGCTGCGCCCCTCAGTCCCCCGTCCTCCGGCTTGATCTTCAGAGCTGCAATAAGATCATCCTGCTGCAACACTGCTCCTCGAGCAATGTTGACGACGAACGCGCCTTTGAGGAGAGCGAATTCCTCTTTTCCAAGGAAATGCGTCGTCTCTTTGGTCAATGGGACGGAGACGAGCAGGATGTCGATGTCCTGCCCGAGGAAGTTGTGAAGGGAGGCCTTGTCGAGCCCGCTGTACCATCTACTGGGGATCAGACCGTCAACATCGCCGGTGCCGGGAACGGTGTACCCGCGGTCTCTTTTGCTATCCGGGGTCGGGCGCGGGGAGGCCGTGTATGCTATTACGTCGAGGCCGAGAGCTTTGGCGATGCGGGCAGCTGGGACCCCGGGCAAAGGTCAGCACGTAGTCCCCTAGGTATCTAACCCACATCCAGACACAAGTACAGATACGAACACAAGAAAGAGGGAATAGTGAGATCGGGAAGCTCGCACTTTGTCGTCCAATAGCTCCATAGCCCAAAACTCCGAGCCGTTGCCCAACGCCGTCTTGTACGAAGTTGAGGCCGGAGTGAGGGCCCCACTTGTGCTCTTTCTGCCACTGCAGCAGCGTTTTCTGCTGGTGCGTATGGCTCAGGATCTGTAGGAGCACCCACTCGGCAATTTGAGGGCCGTGGACCCCCGAAGAATTTGTGAAGGGGATGTCGGTTTCTTTCCAGATGGGCGTTTCAGCCAGGTGGTTGGCCCCGGCAGAGAAGAGGTGGATGAGCTTAAGGTTGGGGATGAGCTTGATGGACGAGGGGAAGGACGCCAGAGTCACGAGGATCGTGGTCTTTCTCCAGGTTTCTATGCTAGGGACTTAACGTCTGTACTTGGTGAACAGGTGCTTGGGGAGGTACCTTCCGGCACGCTGTCAAGGTTCGGAGCGAAGCCGGGAACGAAAGCAATGTTCTGGTATTCGATTTGGACTTGGGGATGTTTGCTTCGGATACTGCTTATGATTTTATCGACTTTCGAGTCTTTGGGGAAAGGTAAGAGGGCAAGGACGAATTCCTGGTTGGGTGGTGGTGCTTCTCCCATCTTGTGTGGACGATTGAAGGTTGATTTGTCTTTGGTTGAGGTTCCGAGAGACTCCTTTCCAAATGACGAGAGATAATTTATATTAGGAACGATATGTGAAAGTTGGCCAAAGTATTATTGCATAAGATCTCGTCAGATTTTGTCGTTCGATTGGGAATCGAATCGCAAATCAAATGATAACTGATGATAAATAATGTGGCGTCGTCATGTGATCTATGTGGTATGATCTCGAACATAAACACCCCCACCCTTTCGGACATAAAACATGTCTGAGCCAGCAGCGCTACGCGATAAGCGATAGGCGATAGGCGATAGTCGGTAATTAGAGGGGTATATATAATGTTTACCCCTCTGCCCGTCTTTGGGGCTTCAGAAGTTCAGTTCGTGTTCGTGTTCGTGTCACATCGATTAACATGGACATCGCGTCCATCTTGCTTTCGCGAACGCTTTAGGAACAGTGATTGGAAATTCGATGCAAGAAAAAACCAATGCAAAGTTGTATGTGGATCGGGTCCGGGAACGCTATATGGATTCTACCTCCTCTACCTCCCCAATTGCTGACTGGCCAACTTGTCATGAACTTCTATGTCGACGGCCTCCCATGGATAGCAAATCCAGACATCCCCGACGGTCCTAGCTGCCAAGTACCTGTTATCATTGAGCATGTCATCGGGCAGCTGGCCTTTCTTCTCCTTGTTCTTGTTCTGACAGGCTGTTAGTAGCTGGACTTACTTCTAGTAATCACTTTCGCAAGCTACGGGAACCTACATGTAACACAAAAACAGAAAAGACTGTCTTCTCTCCTTTGCCTCCCAGCTTTTGTCTGGCAAGCTCGACATCCTTCTCCAACTCCTTGACAGCATACTCGAGTGTCGTCCTGGTATCATCGACTTCGTCTACGATCAAGATCCGCTTGCCTACCAAGTTCTCCATGTCGCCCAAGCTGTTCAAATCCAACCATTGTGTTCTAGTGACCTTGGTACCGAGTTGCTCGACCTCGCCAGGTGTGTTCGAGCCAGATGCGGATGAGGGGGCAAGCGCCTCGTAGAGAGAGAGGCCGATGGCTTGAATGGGGATATTGGGCGAGCCTGGCTGCTTGAGGAACGAGCGCAGAATCCGCGCGGGCACATATCCACCACCGCCGATCGCAATCATAAGCTGGGGCTTGAAGTCCTCGAGGATGCGAGGAGCTGCCTCCTGGCAGAGCTTATGGACCTGTCGCGCGTCAGTCTGCGCCGGCCGGCCGCTTTCCCCCTCGAAGCCCAGCACGTACATCGTTGTAAGTCACGTATTCTTTGACAACCATTTTGAAGGTATCGGCGCGACTGCAGTGGGAGAATATGAAAAGGCGCGGCAAAAGCGCTCGAGTTCGGTAAATAACTCTAAGAGAGGAAAAGCAAAAAAAGAAGAGTGTCGAGACCCTAGAGACTAAGAGAGAGAATAGAAGCTATCGGGTCTCGCTTAAAAGATGACGGGGTCACGCTGCAGATATCGGTTTTTAGGTGGAGAGAGGTGTGTGTGTATACAGAGTAGCCAAATTAAAGATGTCTTGGGAATACCCCACTACTCTTCTCATTCACAAAATACTACGTAATTCCAAATCCAGTTCAACTCGGGCCTACCTGATATCCTAATAATTTTTGACCCGTACATATATTTATATATCCCTGCTATGAAATTCGCGGCTATGGTCTCGCAAATAACGTCAATCAAGCCTGCCGGCTATGGAGCCAGCCATTTCTATCCAGCTCAGTCAGCTTGACTAACGTGATATAATGCAAGCAGCTCAGAGCTATATTTGCCCACCAGTGGAGAAAGTGAATAGTCTTTCTTATTACATTTTATTGGCCCAGCCTTTTCATATCCTTGTTTACAGACACTATGGCTCAATTAGCACCAGATCTCAAGATCCTAGCATCTAATACTGTGGGAATGCTGGACTGAGGGGGTGGATATATCGGAGTTAAGGACTTGGGATCGGATTTAGTGACACAGGCAGTGGCCCGTGCAGCATTGGCACCACTACCACCTACCATCCTTCCCACTCTCCTAGAATAGCTTCCTCCACGGAGAGACTTAACACCACGAATGCAACACTTGCTATTCGTACCGAGCCTCAACCTGTGTGCACATTCCGTATGGGATACCAACAAAAACTAGTGTCAAAATTCCGATCATCGACACTACAACCTCAATCGACGTTATCACAGCTCCGTAAGATGGTGGCTGGAAGGTTGTAGTGAAGAAAAGCGTTGAAAAATAACTCGAAGCTGATAGATTAAACGGAAAGAGTATTAAGGCAATCATCTAGAGTCACTGGCATTGGGACCACGTCGGTGACCCATGTCTCGCAAGGTCGGAAGACGGCAAAGGCGTAGCGAACGATGCCGATGAGGCGCAGGCTACGATTTCCAAGGTCATTGAAGCGGATGCGCAAAACGAAATTTTCGTGGTGATGGCGCATGATGAAAATTTGTTGATTGTGGTGTACTTCTCTCCTAAGTGTGCAAATGACTCTAAGTCGAAAGGGTAGAGTGAGAAGAGGAGGTGGCTGGTTTTGAAGGACTTTGCCGAGGCTATCAAGCATTGGATATGATCTTTTAAAATTATAGTCCTGCGATAGGTAGTCATCCAATTCGTCTCTAGAAAGTAATACTGGATGGAACTCATAAGGATTCTGACCGGCAGTGTTCCTGCTATTCTATTGCCGATCGCCGCTGCCAGAATGACCAGTACTGATGCTACACACTTCTTAAGAGAAATTAAAAGCACTGGACTCGCATATCGTCCGCTCTTTTTGAGCTATCGTGGGGGTAGCAATACTTAGGTGCTATGCCCTGATCCCAGGCACCGGATGATCGATCTACTCCCGAAGGCTGATTCGGAATAGCTCCAACGTCTAGGTGAGAGACTAATTATCATCTCCGGAGAAGGTGATATCGCTCGCTAGCGTTTAACAAGAGTGAAAAGCTATAGCGCGCATGAAGGAAACGACAATACTTTGCAGCTGGAAAACGTGATGTACAAGATGGTCCACACGTCCATGGTAGTTTACGTTACCGTCATGTTGCATATCCGCTATGGTCATGACAACTCTACAGTCCTGAAAATTTGAGCCCTGAGCGATTCTCCAGCGCTCACCAAGAAGTCTTTACTTCTGCCTCTTGCCGTGGCAGACGCAGCGCCTCGGTCCCACGCAGCCATGAGAAATAGAGCTCAAACTCGCAAGGGCTAGTCACTCACCCACTCCGCATCCGCCGGGTAGTACTCTAGGAAAAGGGAGGTAGAAAGGGCAAAGGCCAGCATGTATTATTATTCGCATCTACTATAGTACGAGTACTTTCGAGAGAATTTGAGAATCAAGAGAACAAACAGCCTCCTGGAATCTTTGGTATTCGGTTATATATTGATGGGAAGAGTCAAAACCTAATGTCACTCACACACACCAAAAAAATTATATCTACTTTATATATGCCAACTCTGCCTCAACTTCCATCAACTGCGAGGAATGGCATGGTGGTGTAGTGGCTATAAGCTGCTCGCCGCTTCCAAGTACACCTGTTGATACCAACGAAAAACCTATTCAATTAGGTTTGTAGACTGGAACCTCATATCATCATACCTATGGATTGAGTTTCCAGTTGAGTTTTGCTAAAATTCTGTAATTTTTTTATACCTTCTTATTTAAAAAAAAGTATTCTTTTATATTCTGTCTGATAGTGGGGAGCTCCAATCCCACATCTATTAATCCGCCAGAAGGAGGGGAGCCTGACGTCCGTCGTCGATGTCAGCCGAAAGCCCAGAATGCAAGAGCTCCTGAACGCCGAAACAGAACAACCAAGCCCGATCGTCACGACGAGGCCATTCATTGCACACTTATAAGTAACCACTCCCGAAATAGCAGCCACTCATCCTGCCACTCGCCCGAGGCCCTAACTCAACCCTCAGCATCTCCAACTGGCGGCTCATCGACGCCAACTCCCTCCAAACCTTCTTCCAGCCCGCAAGCTCCGGCGTCCCCGCGAGCGGCGGCTCTCTCCAAAACCACATGAAGCTCACGCGCCGCAGGCTCTTGGACCTCGGCGCGGGCAACGAGGCGTGGAAGCTGAGGATGGCGTCGGAGCCCGGAGACAAAACTCACTGGCGGAGTACAGGATGGTGGTAGTTTCAAAGTACCTACCTCTGATCTTAGCTGATGATGGCTAGCTAGGCTGGCTGAAGGAAAGAATGGGTGGGGCAAGGCAAGGAGAGGAGAGGAAAAGAAAGAAAAGCAGAGGGGGCGGAGTCGGGGGAGAAAGTTACGTTTCCCGACGCGTCAACACCAGCGGGAGGAGTCCGACGTTGGTGATGGTGTGTCTCCGGTGCGCGTAGGACAGCTGACCGTAGTGGCCGCGGGAGTAATCAGGGTAGAAAACCATGTCGCCCAGAGCCTCGTGCCAGATCTGGTCACGGATCTCGCACGGGAGGCGCAGGAGTCTGGATCTCAGCTGTGGACCAGGTGCCGAGATGGCATTGTTCGGGTTCATGGCTGAATGGGAGGTGAGGCGTTGCCGCCGCCGGCGTTGTTGAAATCTGCGATGAGGTTGAGGATTCCTGCTGCGGCTTCTGGGGTTTTCGTCGCTGCAGGTTTTCGTCTTTCTTACTGACTGACGTATGAGTCCCATTTGGGAAAGTAAAAACAGCAAATGGAACCGTCGGAAATTTTACTCTCAATGGAGAGGTGATCCGAGGAGCAAATTTTCAGACCGGCATGACGAGGAAGCAACAGCTTGGAGGTGAGACTGAGTACCTATTTTTCTTGCAGCAGCTATGCATAGGCTGAGCCAAATAACACTGCCATGATTGCTCTCCATAAAATCAGAACAGGTGATTTTATACATTGTAACCAAGTCAATATGATTAACTGACTTGCTCGACTGTGTAGGCAATGATGTGTTAGCATAAAGAAGCCCCGCTACAATCGGCGAAGGAGACATGCTCATGAGTTTTTTTTATAGCAAGATATCCAAGAAACCTGAGAGCAAAAACACCAAATTTTCAGCAAGAGCACAACTCATATTGATTATCGTCATAGCAACCAAGATATTCCGTACAAGCTTCATCACACTGGCATGAATATTCCAACAGTAGCTCGGACTGCGCCCAGAGGGCCTCGCTCCTTCACAAGCTTGTCGAAGGTATCTGGTACCTTCGCCAGACTACTCCTATCGTCTGCATGTTGCCCTGCGTATGTTAGATCCAGCTGGCAGTTGAGTAGGCGAGAAGATTACTTACAAGCTCCAGGCAGCCTTGCACTCGCCGTAAGAGCACTTTCCACCTCTCCAGTCCAGTCAAAAGAGATCTTCCATTCAAACCTCAGCTCAACCTCACTATTACTCAGCTCTGCGCCCGTGCGTCCTATGTGAGGAAGCATCTGCCGCCTCGTCCATATCTGCCTATCTTCAGACTCGTCGACTGCCATCTCATCTGCTGTGGCGTCTGGTGCACCCTGTCGTTTCCGCTTCTTCTTCTTCAGTAGTGTTCGAGCCCTCGCCTGTGGGGTCCCGAACTCATGTTCAATAGTACACCAAAACCTAGCACGCTGTATCGACACCTCAATCCAGCGAGACATTGCCCAGCACACCACCGTGACATCTTTCCCCAAGACACTGTCCGACCTAGCTCGAGCTCTTATAAAGCTTCCCAACTCTTTCTCTGCATTCATGTCCAGCCTGAGGATATCGAGAGCAGCGATACTGAGCGAGGATGTGTCCACAGTCATTGAGAACCTTGTCGAGAAGAGGCCCGAAGGATGAGAAGCACTAATGACATGCCTCTGCATCACAGGCTGCTCTTCGGATTGAGAAGAATTGTCGCTTAAGATTGGTTCACAAGGGAGCAGAGTGATGGTTGAGCTGTACTTCAGTGGACTGAAAGCCTGGAGATAGGGCAATGGATCAGTAAGTGCAATAGGGAGGTGAGAAGGCAAAGGCTTTTCTGATACAGGAGCTGCTGCTGGTCTTCTTCGTGGCCGAAATGGCAAAAATGCGTTGATAGACTGGAATATGCTGGTGGGTTTTGGTCGAGCATCAGATGAAGGTTCAGGCGCCGTGGACCGTAGTAGCATTGATTGCAGTTCATCTGGATTTGGAGCTGTCGAATGTCCTTTCTTCTTGGATGCCGAGCGTATTCGCAGGCGCTCATTCTCCCGATTCGCAAGTGCAACGTCTGCCTGTAATTGCTGGAGCTCCTTGAGCAGGTCATCACGAGCTCTTTTCTTGGCAGCATGAGGGTCTTCCGGAATCATAAATCGTGATGATTTGCGCCGCTTAGGTTTCTCGGCTTTGAGCTCTGTCAATGGCAATGGCACTGGCTCCTTGGGTTCTTGGGGCGACGGAGCGCGAGGTCTCAAAGGCGATATTTTCAGTTTGCGATTTTTCGCCCTCTTGCTCGGTGTGTCGGGAGTTCCGGGAGACGACGTAGTAACAACCGGATCAGGAATTTCTAGTTGCGTCGGTGTAGGCCGCAGTTCGGGCTCCTCTACACGGCGGGTCCCATGAATGAGGTCTTGGACATCTATACTTGGAACTTGTGGCCTCTGAGTCATTTTTGGGACAGGAGTCCGTTCCTGCTCTTGCATAGAGTAGTCTCTGCTCTCGGCGACGCTGCTGACCCTAGGCGGTGGTTCTGTAGGGGTCGTCGAAACAATAGCTTCAGGTACCGGTTCGTGTACCAGTTTGTATGTTGGCTCGGCATCATAAATAGGAGCCTCGATTTGTTCCTCTTGAAGTTTTGGTATCTCTGTTAAAAACATCTTCGGTTGTGAATTCGGTTCGAGAGGTGCAGATGCAACTTCCTGCCTAGACTCAGATGATGCATTTTCAGGCTCTGACACGTCCACGTCCCGTGTTATCTCTGCAAGTAATCTCCTAGGGGGAGGAGGTGGCTTTGCTGGGGTCACGGGACTGATTTCTTGAGTGCTAAGCAAGCGTTGTTCGGATATCTGGCTTGCCTGATGTATGGGATTTATATCCTGGGAGAACACCGGTGACCTTCTCAATGCCGACCTTGATGGAAACGGTGACTTCCTAGGACTTGGTTGCAAAGGCTGTGAACGAACAGGCGACACTATAAATTCGTCTAACGCTCTACCGCTTGTGAAATGCTGTTGTGGGGTAGGTGATCTCCTAGGGATGGTTTCGACAGGCTGCGTTGGAATTGGAGATCTTCTAAGTCCCTTCTGAGGTTGTGAGGATATAGGAGATCTTCTGAGTCCAGCTTTCCGAAAGGGGTTGAAGTTTTCGTCTACATCCATGGGATCGTGAACCACAGCTGCCGCCGGAACTTCAGCTGAAGAGATTATAGGTGACCTTCTTAGGCCCTTCTTCAGGAACGGGTTGAAGTCTTCTGGCAGCACATCCGGAATAGGATTCACTAAAGCTGAACGCTCAGGCTGCTTCTTAGGCGATTGCGGCAGCCTGTTAGGTTTCGCAATCATTCCAGCTCCAACAGGCTCTTTGCTTCGCCCTCCCGGGAGAGTCTTTTGGCTCATATCATAATTGTCCCAAGCAGACGAGTCATTTTCTTGCGTCGTTGACATGGACCTCGACCCTTCCTTGTCATCGTTGCTGATAACAGACCGCCCTACTTTCACGGTCTGTGTTTCTCCCAAGGCCCTCCCGAAGACATCTTGTAAGTTCTTACTGCGACTTGCAGGCCTCCCATTTCCGGCGCCAGACGACAGAGGCCTGTTCAGAATTTGCGGGTGGTGTCGAGATAAGCTCGCTTTTGTGGGAGACGCGAAAGATGGTCTGCGTGAGGCAGGTTGTGCGCCATCTGCTCGAGGAACTGGTATTCGGCTTGGAGTCGCAGGCGCGTCGATTGGGATGGATGTCGTGGGTGATAATTTGCGCCGCTTGACCGCTGAGTCTTCCATTGAGGATATTTGGATTTATTGGTCCTGTCCCATAATCTAGCTGAGTATTTGCACGTCCATAGGTATGCGCGGGCTAGAATCGAAGTATGACGGTCGAGTTGTTGAAGTTGATTGAACGTACATGAGCGCGTAGGCAGTTTCGAGGACGCGATGAGGGGCCAGCCAAGCCCTGTTGTGACAAGGCTCAATGTCCAGAAAATTTACAGAAATTGGATAGCGATTATTGTAAGTACAGATTAACAAAAATGAAGATTCTCTTAAAACTTGCCATGTTACTAAACGGTACGCTCGTAGACGCTCGTTCCTCGCGTTCACGAGACTGCTGATAAGTAAACAGCCAGCCCGATGACGTCCGATGCCCAAGGCGGATCTTTCTTGCATAGAGCTCCATCCATGAATGCCCCCCCCCCTACCTCGACCTCTTTAATGACTGCGCATTTAATTTCTTGTGTACCTGGAACTCCCGCGAGACTGCTCATCCCTCGTGAAAATGGAAACGAGATGTCTCCTCCGCGCCTCCCAGCGCCTCAAACTCCCACCCTCTCTCCGCCTCCTCTCCCAGCCCCGATTCTACAGCTCCCACAAACCCCCACCCCAACAGGTAAATCCCATAGGGGACTACTACGCCTTAATCCTCGAATCCTCGACCCCTGAAACCACAAGTCTACGGCCGACCACAGCTTCCCCCTCTACTACACCCCCGATCTCTACGACAGCTGAAGATGCCGATTCCGAGCCCAGCATTGTGTTTTCCTCTCGGTTATCTTCGCCGTTGGAACGGAGGTCAGAGATAAAGAAGCAGAGTGTGTTAATAGCTGGCGTATGGGTCCCGCCACGGCCAGACGAGCCGGATAACTGCTGCATGAGCGGATGTGTGAACTGCGTCTGGGACCGCTACGGGGAGGAGCTTGAGGAGTGGGCTGTGGCAAAGAAAAAAGCCGATGCCGCAATGAGGAATGGCAAGGGTTTTGAGAAAGAGGAGAGGAGGAGGATGTCGGCAGGGTTAAGTGGAACGGGCACCATGTTGGAGGAGGCAGATAAAAGCGCACATCATACAGCTGTGTGTATGGATGATGACGGAGGCGGCAGCGAGACCAATTGGGGGACGGGACTGGAGACTGATTTCACGACCGAGGGCTTGCTTATGGGTGTGCCGGTAGGGATCCGGGAGTTTATGAAGCAGGAGAAGAGGTTGAAGGAGAGGCATGCTAGGGAAGGGACTAGGGGATGAAAGGTGCCATATGATACCAGTAGATGTTGGGAGAACGCGAAGAGCGCGTGAAAATGCCATGCATAGAATTTATACCCAAGCGCCGTACTATGCCCTCACTGGCTTGTCATCGTTATATCCCTTTTAGACCAGCTGCAGCGTTTTTGCTTTGCAGTTCCCCGTTAATCGACATCCACACCCTTAGTTCTCAAGTCCGCCCTTGCAGCATCAATCTCCTTCATGAGTTCTGCGTGTGCCTTGGGAACATCGTTGAAAGTGAAGACTCCGTATCCGAGCTTGAAAAGAAGGTAAGCACCGAAAGAGACGAGAGCCCAGAAGGGTAGCTAGGCATGTGGGTTAGCAAGGAGCCACTTTGATGTTTGGGCATATGCAGTAGTGGATAGACTTCCACACTGCAGAGCTTGTAGGTGGAGGTGATGGTGTTCTGGAAGGCGGCTCTACGCCCATCGATCTGAGAGACTCGTAGCCCGACGGCGCACAAGGCGTAGGAGAAGACATGACGTACGACTGGTATTATTTCTTCCGAGATCAAAGTCGGGAGAGGAATAAGTTGGAGGTAGAGGGCGAGATAGAGCTTAATATCTATTAGTAGCTGGAACCAGGGGTGGAAGGGACTGTCGCATACGGAGGTGACCAAGAGGCCAATTGATACGGTTTGCTGTGCTCGTGTCATGATTCCAACGGGTCCCAATGTCTACCGGTTGTGAATGTGGTGACTGTTGTGCGGTTGTAAATGAGTGTGGTCCGTAAAGAGGAGTGTCGCGGAGGACACTTGCGTCGCGCCGAATAGCTTTGGGAGTCGCGCCTGAGTCACGTGTGTACAATTTGAACGTCCCTTCAGTTGGGCCTGGCAATTTTAGAGAAGGTTTTTAACATCTATTTTGTAAATAAGAGTCAACATCTCAATACGCGTTGCCTTACAACCTGCGGGCTCTCGCAAATTCTGCGGGTTTGTTTGACAGAGAATCGAAATGCGATGCGAACTGTGGACTTAACCCTTCCCAATTTCAAGTTTCAAATTTCATCGATAAATGCCCAGCATGAGCGAACGAATGCATCTGAAGCATAGTGACGACGGCAGTCATCCACTCCAGCCACACCATTATAAATATACAGCACGCCACATCCCCTCCTCCATCTCTGAACTGAGGGTAGACAATCCCAGGAAATCTTCTTCATGGGACCACGCAAGGCGGCCATCATAATGAAAATAAATGTCTCTTGCACCGAGAAGGCAATCAAAAATTCCCCCGCTGAGGATACCGAAGCATACTCAACGATTCTCAACGCCCCGATGTGCAATGGAGGTTTCGTATCGTAAGCAAAGCCATTCATGAGCGGCATGCTTGCAAGAAGGTAAGTATGGAGAGAAAAAGGAGGACGTTGGGGCGAGGAGCGAGCTTAAGTACTTGTAAAATCCTTAGCGTGGGGCTAGCTTTGCGCTAACCAGCTTACAAGTCACATGACACACACATCGGATTCTCCAATTTGGCCCGCTTGGGAAATACCTCTGAGCGAAATTTCACGACTTCAACGACAACCACGACAACTTGATCGCAACTCGACGAAATGGCGATCAAGCACAACCAACAGATCCCGCACAACCGTGAGCGCTCTGATTCGATCCGCGACTGGAACTACTACTGATTATCCCCAGATTTCCGAAAGGATTGGCAACGACGAGTCCGAGTTCACTTCGACCAGGTAACACCCTCAATCGGTATACAAACACCAGGAAGACTATTTCTGACGCACTCCAACAGCCCGGCCGAAAGCTCAGACGCCGCAATGCTCGACTCTCGAAGGCCGCAGCTGTTGCCCCCCGCCCAGTCGACAAGTTGAGACCGATTGTCCGATGCCCAACCATTAAGTACAATCGTCGTGTTAGAGCTGGACGTGGTTTCACCATCGCCGAGTTGAAGGTAGGACTTCCTGCGTCTTCAGAAAGGCTGGCCTCGTAACGCATCTTAACATCGTACAGGAAGCTGGTATCGCTCGCAAGCTCGCACCCACGATCGGTATCTCCGTGGACCCCCGCCGCCAAAATCTCTCTACCGAATCCCTCGCCGTCAACGTTGAGCGCCTGAAGGCCTACCAGGCCCGCCTCATCCTCTTCCCTCGCAAGCTGGGTCAACACAAGAAGGGCGATGCTTCGAAGGAGGATGTCTCAGCCGTCAAGAACACCGTTTCCAGCGTCAAGCGTGGCCTGCCAATCGTCAACACTGCTGCTGGTGTTTCCGAGATCAAGGCGAGCGCCAAGCCATCACCGATTGAGGGTGGTGCCTACAGAAAGTTGAGAGACGCAAGAAGCGAGCACAGATTCCAAGGCCAGCGTGATAAGCGGGCGAAGGAGAAGGCCGACGAGGCTGCTGCTGCTAAGAAGTAAAAATGGCTAGGTTCTTGTTATGGTCTGGGCTTCTTTTATTTCGGTTGCGATGCATGGCTGGGGGACACAATGGGCAGTTATCAAGAATTGCTAGGTGTGTTTGATGAATGCAAAGAACGTACCAAAAAGATGCTCTTCAACGAGTCTTGAATGTGTCTGGTGCGGCTGGGAGATTTTAGTGACAGTCTCCAGTAAGGTGAGGTGAGGTGCAACGGAGAAAAACGATCGTGACTTCCTTGAAGGTATATCTATCTGTCTGCAGCCAGAGATGACATGATGGCGGGTTATGAGTCTGATTCACTCAGAGCGACTTGAACTCGAATCTCGAATCGAGCATTCACTCCAAGCACCAGTATGTCAGAATCAGGCACAGTCAAAGTTCAGTCAGCCTTTCGCGCGCTTCCTGGCAGCATTTCGTTCTCATTAACATTCAGCTGTAGCGCGTCCAATACAACGAATCACGGCCCAGCAACATCACCCACAACATCACCCACATCGCAAATTCCGTTCTTCTGACTTCGGATTGACGGTCTCAGAGCACATCATAAAAACCGGGCAGTCTCGCTACACATCAGGAGCTATCCCGACACGTTGTATGCCCTTCTCTGCACCGGCCTACACAAACCAGAAGTACCTCACCAAGATGGCACCAGCAAAGACCCCGTCAAATGACCAGCAGGAGTTACCGGAGCTGGTAGAGCATACGCCTCCTACGGAGTCCACTTCTGTTTCCGAAGATAATAAATCCGAGCAGCAGACAACGACTGTCGCCGGGTCCTCTGCTCAGCCCAACAAGAAAGCCGGTAGGCTTTTCTACCCTTATATATCTCTGGGTCCTTATATGTTTTGTCAGTTCTATCTTGGTGTTCATATAGCTGACCTTCCACCCAGCACTAACCCGTATGTGGCGAGGAAATTCAGCACCACGCCATCTATGGCTAGAAAAATCAAAATCAGAGCCTGTTACTTCTGCGGAACGATCCGACGCTCCGCCAAAGGGGGTCCCGGCGAACCCAAGATTTCCAGACCGGTCAGTATATCACGGAAGGGTCGCTTCTTGTTACATTCTATACTAACATATCCAATAGGTGCCCTAGATGCGGTGGGGACTTCCTGGGCCAATGCTTCGCGTGCGGTTCGGGCACACATTTTGGTTTCTGAGGCACTTTCGATCTCTGAATTCATGCTCCTGGAGAGCTTTAATTCACGGGAGCGTCTGCAGATGGGAGGAATAATAGCCGTTGGTTCATCAGTGTTTCTCTTGCGTTAGTAAGGTTGGCTCCACATTTTCACTACTTTTCAGACCTGTTCTTCAGCCACACTTCGCATCTTTAGCGGTGAAGGCGACCGCATAGCCTGATTTTCTCGGCCCATATCCGCGATTCTATTCTGTAGCCTGTCTGCAAGAAGAAATGATGTGGTCGGCTGGCAGGCATGGTTTGAGTCTTCTCTCTTAGCATCTTTCAGTCTTGTAGAAGGCGGGCAAAGTATACAGCGAGCTGTGCTCCCGGTCATCGCTTACACTTTACACTAAATGTGGCATTGACTTTTGTGAACCAGCTTGCCGATGTCTACATACTGTGTACAGCTACCGCTATCCAGTCACCACGTCAGGTACAGTAAATTTTTGAGCTCTTTTGTAGGTAGCAAGTTCAGTGCTTCCTAGCGACTTTGACGCCGTCACGCTAGCCCAAGTCAGACTGCTATCACTTACTGTGTGAGTATATATATGTGTGGTGTATTCAATGTTCAATAGCGGGATTAGGCGCTCCACGAGCGCGAGCGTTGGAGAGAGCCTGATCTCACCAGCGTCAAGTATTCACACAGGTCCTTGGTCAATCCTCAGTGGCAGCATATGTATCTTTCTATATATCCCTGCGCTCTATCGACATACTTCAGCACTATCCTTTCCTCGTCAACTCAACAAGAACCACTTCAACCTACAGCCTCCCAAGTTTCCACCCAAGCATTAAACAAGAGCCCCCCTATCTTCTCCTCGAGTCAAACTCTTCTCGAGCCAATTGGATCCACATCAAACACACCAAGCCAAATCAAACTCACTCGATCACCAAAAGAAAAAAAAAAGAGCAAGAAATAGTCGAAGCGAACCTCCTTCTATCACCTACAACCGTGTACCTTCCTAAACAGCCAAACAACAACCCTTGAAATGCCGTCCTCGTCCTGCCCCTGCCCAACCTGCGGTGCTGCCGATTACAGTGGCACCTGCCACGCATGCGGCGCTGGCACCTTGTCGCAAACAAACACAACCTCTGAGCCCTCCCCTCCCTTCCAGATGATGGATGATGGATGATGGATGGTGGATGATCCAGACCAGAGATTTAACCTTTCTACGGGAGGTGTCAATCATTAAGTCAAGTCGTTTATAACTGACATGGTTGCGGGGGGGGGGGTCGTCGAACTTGCTTTCAGAGTGGATGAATTGGAAGAAGAGAGCACAACACAACCTCTCACTCTCGGTTATCCCTCTGGTCTCTGGTCTTCGGGATTCTTTTTTCCTCTCTCTCTCTCTCTCTCTCTTCTTTCTTCGTCTTTCGTC